CCTGCATCCGACGCGGACAAGAACGCTGTGGCAATTGATGAGCAATCACCGCGCCAATTAAGACCTCAAGCAGTGGCTACAGGAATTTACAATTATAGTACGCATGCGGCTGACCACTGTGAAGTATAAATACCGTGCAATATGTGCATGTATCAGCCCTTATCTGCGCATGTGCAGACTTGTTTACGATTACCTATGATTAAGGATTCCCGACGGAATCCGAAACATCAGGAAAATAAACTTTTGTTCCAGTAATCACCTCTTCTTCTTCTTCGAGACACAAGCTGTTAGCCTAGCAGACAAAGTTAATTTCGGCTTAGGCGCGTCACATTTTATTTTGCTATATAAGTTACCTGATAGATTCTATTCATCCGAGAAAATGTTTCCATTCGATCACCAAGTACTCACATACATTAACACGTCTCTCAGTGTGTGCATTAGAGAGATTGAGTGATAAACACACCGGTGACCAGTGTGGGGGATGAAACATTGTGCCATTTAATGGAATTCTGCAGCCCTCAAACACAGTTCCTCCTAGCTACCCCCGAACTAAAAATTATGCGCGCAACTGGTGACCCAATCCGATTGAGCGGTCACATCACGCAGAAGTGCAAAAAAAGCCTCCAATTCGCAGACCATTATGCAGATCGCTCTATCAGTGGACTACGACCGGCAGGGTGAAAGGATGTAGGTCAGTCTGGTGTCAAGCTGTCTCTATCATGCAAATCACACAAACATGATTCACCGTCGTGTACCCATGAGCCCTGTCAGACAAGGCATCAGAATATTCAATTGAACTGTCTCTGCTATATTTAGGGTTTCAAATACAACTTACAAATTTGAGAAATACTTGAGCCACCTTTCCGTCATCCATCTGACCGTGCAAATATGCCTAGTCGGCGTTGAAAACCTCATACAGGTAGTTAACAAAACGGCTAACCCTTACTCATTTTGCGGTAAAAGTGTAGTTGGCATTGTCGCAAGCTTGATTCTGCCCCCTCCCCAACCAAGCAAAACATATTTACTTCCTCAAAGTCTTTTAAAAAATAGTTATAAGCTTTTGAAAAATGACGAAATTTGGGTTTGTCCTTCACACCTAGTTTGCCAGACAAGCAATAAAGCACTTAAGCACTTCGTTAAATCTACCTTACCCTATATTACTGTATTGCCTAATGATGAATTAATCGAAAACGTTCGTTCGCCTATCTTGACTTCCTTAATGCTTACATGGGTATCATCGCTGAACTTAAGCACATCTTCGCCAAATGCTCGAGAGTAGAGGCGGCCATTTTTGTATGTAGACTATGTAGTCTTCCACACCCCAAGATGTGAAAGCAGATAGTAGTATTTTTTAAACGCGAGAGTTCTGCAAAATTAAAGTGAAAAGGCGGCTTCCAGGTAGTTTATGCGAAGAAATCGACACGATCGCTGGAACAATACCCTATGTCACCCAAGGTTTCGAATTCACGCTCGGAACTAACATCAGTGATCCGTGTTTGCTAATGTCAATGATGCTGAATTTTAGCGTAGATTAAAACCGTCAGCAAGATAGTATTCCTTTCCTGAAATGGATTCGTTTATAAGGCTCGCGTCCAGAAGCCTCTAACACCTTTCACCGCATTTTATGATTAGGTTTTATATTCGGCGATGCGAAGACAGGCAGTACTTACGCCGGTGTGTGAACAAGTAAAGAGAACAGAGTGCAACGCTTGAGATATGTATTGTGAGAACAATTTCACTGATGCCGCACAGGTCGGCCTTGCGGTGTACAAACAACAGCATTGAATGGTCGCGTCAAAACATCTGCGTTCTTCCTCCTCAAACCATTGTACGTACATGAAAGACAAGGTCCACGATTGATGTGACAAGAAGTATAAAGAAGAGAACCTAAAAAATATTGTATAATACTATTCGTTAAATCCAAATACAGTAATTAATCTGCGTAACTAATTTCCCTTTAATGATCGAGAATGGCACGTAAGTCAGTCCGATCTGAACGGAAACGAGTGAACACTTGTATTTCGATGGAATATATTTAGTGAAACAGGTTAACGCTAAATATATTATATAACACTATATTAAAGGTTATATTATGCAAAATATATACCATATATGTATTCTGAAAACAAGTTTCACATTCTGAGAGCAAAAACCCGATCAATCAGTAG